AGTTGGTTTGTAAGGACCATTAACAATTATTTCCCAAATGCCTCTATCAAGAGATTCAATAAATATTTTCATTCTAACCTTCCAGAAAGAATAATTCACACCAGAAAAAAGTGGAGGCCTGTTTATGGAGGCTCCTTCTAAAAAATTCATCTTTCCCTCAGCCATTGGACCGATTTCTTGAGTAACTTACAAGAACCAGCTCTGGTACCAATTGAAAGAATTAATGGTTGAGTTCAAGAGGGGGGGTGAATTGAACTTTAAAACTTTTTCGCAAAACTTACTTTCTTTTGGAAGAATGAGTTATCTTTATTCAATCTTTGCAAAGGTAATTTGGTTTAAACACAGCAAGTTTATAGACAGAAAATAAAAGAGATGAAAGAAGAAATTTAACACACAAATTTATACTAGTTCACTCTAATCCAGAGCTACATCCAGTTCTTGACAAACCTGTCAAGTTTCACTAATACCAAGTGAAAATTTACAACCAGTAGATACTCACCAATCTACCCCAAGAACTATCTTGCAAACCCACAAGACAGAATCTTGAAAACCACCCAGTAACCAAACCCAGTTACCGTACCAAGTGCAGATCACAATCCAACCTGCACAATCACACTTTTACAAAAGAGTATGGAAAGAAAAAACCTGGACTTTAAGTTCTAATTGTCCAGAACAAATTCTAACAGCACTTTCTCTCTTTGATTGACCACAATTCTGATCACAGCACCTTATGATATGAAAAAGATTCTTGAATGCAGAGAAAGTCACGTATGAAAGTTTCACAGATTGATTTCACAAGTTTTCTCAAGTAGTGTATTGTTTTTGTGTGTCTTTCAAAAGATAGATCAATTTTGTATATATAGAGTAAAGCATAGAATCAGAATGTTCCAAGCTGTCAAAAACTGTTTCGGAGAGTCAAAAGATCGATTAGATTGAAGTAAAACAGTTTAGAAGAGACTCGATCGATTAGAACTGAAGTATGATCGATCAGACCGAGTTATGATCGATCAGAATGAAACTATGATCGATCAGACCGAGTTATGATCTATCAGAATAAAACTATGATTGATCAGAATAAATTTCAATCGATTAAAACATCGATTCAATCGATTGATTTCATTTAAAGCTCCATTCAATCGATTGATTCGAGTTTTTAATGGATTGAAACAGCTTTATGAAAAATGACAGTTCTCTGTTTCAATCGATTTAAAAATCATTTCAACAGATTGAAAACCTGAAAACACTTAGTTAAAAAATAGTCTCTCTGTTTCAACAGATTGAAAAATATTTCAACAGATTGATTTTCTAAAAACTCTTAGACTGAAAAAAAAATCTTTCTGTTTTAACAGATTTAAAATTTATTTCAACAGATTGAAAATGCGAAACTTTGATATTGAAAAATTCATTGAGTTATTTTAACTTGTTGATTCCGCGAATCAATCAATTGAATTTTCGACTATGTATGACCATTTATTATGTTAAGTGATTTTAACAGATTGAAAAACCTTTTCAACAGATTGAAAAAACTTAGTTTATTCTTTTAATACTTAAACGTAAGTTTTTCATGCAGAAAAATGATTTTCAATGAGATGCAACATTTTAACCCACAACCTAAGTTATATCTATGTCTTCATCAAATCCACCAAGTGCTTCAGAATATAAATATTTCATTCTTTTTTCATTAGTATAGGGAAACTGTTTCTCGATATTTTCATAATGTATTGAATACAATATTAATGTTGGAGGCAAAATTCTTAATTCAAATATTTGGGACTGAAGTTCAAGCTCATGTTCTAAACAAATAGTATTGTGACATTAGATATCACCTAAAAGAGTACACTCGAAGAGGTCCACAAAATCCAAGAGAGTTGTTCAATGTTCATCATGCATCACTTAGAAATGTAATTGAAAGGACATTAAGTGTTTTAAAGAAATGATTTCTCATCATATTTAGTGGAAGTGAACCACATTACTCATTGAAGTCGATGACAAAGATTATCTTATCATGTTGTATTCTTCACAACTATCTTTGTGGAGTCGACGATGATGACTCCTTGGTAGTTGAGATTGATCGAGAGTTGATGGAACAAGAGATTCATCCATCCGACACTCAAGATTGAGAAGATGATTATAGACTAGGGTCAAATATTAGAAATTTTATTGCGAACAATAAGTGGAGAGACTATGAAAATAATTAAGATATTATATTAGTTACTTTAATGTGTAAATATGTTATCTTAGATTTTAATGACTTATTAAGTAAATCCTTTTTTAATCATATTTACACATGATCGTGTTACAATTTTTGGAGAAGTTATGTTTTCAATAGGAAAATCATGAATAAAGGCAAGAGTAATGTTTATGAGTCATATGTAAGAATAAAATAATTTACTAAATGGACAACAACATGGACTTACAGTTACAGATAGACATGGTTGATGAGGCTCGTTTGAGCAATCGAGTTGATGATAGCTAGATCACATAAGCATATAATAACATTGTACAATCCCTCTGACAATCCGACTTGGTGGGTATAGAAAATAATGTCAAAAATAGGCAAAAGAACCTTAAGGACAAGTGGCGAGGGGTTCATTACCTTTTTGCTGACCTCAATGACTTTACATGGATTGAATCCATTAGATTGTTTGAGGTTGAACCAAAAGTCCGGGATGACTTAATACAAGTGTTCTCTCTCTCTCTCTCTCTCTCTCTATATATATATATATATATATATATATATATATATCTTTATTATAATAAACACTAAAACGTTCACAATATCTTATTTATTATGTGTGTTCCTCATATGTAGGAAAAATCTTCTGCTGCTAAGTGGAGAGCCATCCTATCAAATACCATGATTTGATGGAGGAACTATGGGGCATTGATTGTAACATTGGGCACGACATAAGTACAACACGTCAAATTTGCCAATACATCCAAAGACAGAGTTACATGGTGGATTTGGATGATGGCATGGAGTATATGCTAGAGGAGGTTGCATTTCATGTCACAGTTGATGATGTTCCTGAATCACTCTCATATGTAGATTCATATAGTCCAGTACCGACTCCATCCATTCCATCAAAGTGGTACATCCTCTTCCCAGGGCTCAAACAGAAAATTCTCAATGATAGATGTCATTGAATCCCAAATTGATTATTTGAATACTAAATTGGATGTTATTGTTGAATCAATGGGCAAAGGTAACGACAACTAAGAAAAATTAGCCACATATGTGGAAAGGCAAGTCATTGCTGTGGAAAACAGAAACAAACTATTGCACAGTACATAAAACTTTCAACACTCTAAAACTAACATTTGGCAATTATTAGTTGACAAGCAGATAGTTGATGAACAAATAGTGGACCAGTGTTATGACTATTTGTGCACGAACCTGTCACATACTAAATGCCTATTTGGGATGACACCAAAATGTCATTTGAAAAAGTTAATTAGTATGATATCCAAAAATCGGTGATTTTATTGTGTTTACGGTTTAAAATTATTTTAGTGGATTGTAGTTATTTAAATATGTAATATTATAATACTATGTATGACACAATTATTATAATATTTATGTCATCTAGTTCCATTTGAATTTGTGTCTTCATTTATTTCATTTACAACTTATGATTGATTTTTGTATGTTGTATTTCACCTTGTGTTCACACTTTTCATATGTTGAACATTTTATGAGCATGACTTCCTCTTATTCAACTAAAAGACAATGAAGGGATAAAGCAAAAAAAAAAAAAAAAGAAAAAAAAGGAAAAGTTGTTGCATCCAATCATGCAGCTCCTCCTTCATAGCAACTGGAGATTGAGAACATATTAAATTTGACCCACTAGTTCAACATACATGATCAAATGGTAGAGTTTTTAATAACTCATGTAATAGGAGGAAATTTTTAAGCCTAAAAGTAATGAATTTTTCGTTATTCGCCAAATTAAGGTTGTATTTCCATCATCATAGACAGTTCCAAGGTGTGACACATTTTCTTATACTAAACACTGAATATTACAATGAACTTGTTCGAATATTTTACACAAATGAGGAAGATGAAAATGATAATGATGAAAATCTTACAATACTGAATGATGATGCAATCAACATTGGAGAACAAAGTATTGTCCATCATGAATCGGTTCAGCCGCATACAATCTCTCATAATGGTCAAATGCTACCCCAAACTTAGGGATATTTAGGATATACAAACAAAAATGATATGATTACTAATAAAGTTAATCATTTGGAAAAATGATTTGATGACTTTCAAGACTGATTTCAATAAATTTTATCATTTATTTATTTACTTCTCATTTAATGTTTATTATAATTTATAAACACGAATTTTGACAACAACTTTTAATATTTGTTTTTTTTAATTTTTAAATTATTTCTATCATAAACAATTACATGTTATTTATTTTCATAAATTATTACATTTTTTTAATAAATTTCTGTCACTTCAATTTAAATTTACTTTATATGTAATTTAAAATAGTATTATCAATTACAAATAAAATTTTATTTTATTTAAATTAATTATCCAAAATATATTTCAAATTAATTTCCATCAATAACATTTTATTTTAATATAATTTCATATATTTAATTTTTTATATTTTAAATAATAACTTACATCATATTTTAATATTATTTATATTAATTATATTTTATTTTAAAATAAAAATAAAATTATAATATTATAATTTATTAATTAAATTATTTTTTAAATTTATCAAATCAATCATTTCACTTTAATTTTTTATCAAATTTTCTTTAATTTTAGGCAATTTCACTTTCATTTATCTCTCGTCTAAAATTTCACACCTCTAAGTTCATTTTGAAATCCAATCACAAAAATAAAATAAAATACAAAAGTAAGTGAGTGACGGAAGAGGAGCTGGGATTGTGGGAATCGAAGTGGAAGTGTTGAATTGAATTGATGGGTGAAGGGTGGGGTCCAGTGAGGGTAACCACTATTTGGTGATGACCTGGACCTCGACGGTAGCGGAGGAGGAGACAGCATGTTTTCTCGGCTGGCAAGCACCGTCACCGTCTTCCCATTTACGGAGTTTCTTATATTTGCGATGACTAGACAACCAAAACACGTATATCCGTGACTTGCTTTGTATATTAAAATTTATAAAATATAAATTTATTATATTGTATTATTTTTTAATAATTTATAATGGATTTTATTGAATAAGAATTTTTTTAATTAATTTTAAAAAATTTACTCTTTTTACATATTTATTTTAGTGAGTTACTAAATTATATAAAATTTATCTAATATAAAATTATTTTAAATAATTAATATTTTATTTAAATCTAATAAAATCATTTTTATTAGTATATTTTAATTATCCTATATTTTTCTATAATATATATATATATATATATATATATATATATATATATATTTACAATTTTTATATTTACAATTTTTAAATTTATTTATTATTTATTAATAATATATTATTTAATTCTTAAAATCTAGGATAAGATTCTTATTACATTAATATAACTAATATTATTTTTTATTAATTATAATTTTATTTAATAAATTTGTTTTTTTTAATATATTATACATTATTTTCACTCTTAAAATATATAATGTTTAAATTTGAATTAGAAACTAAAATAAATATTAATTTTTATTATTTTTAATAAATTTGATAGTTTTTTAATGTTTTTATTATTTTGATATTTTTTAAACTAAATTTATTTTTAGTAATACTTTTTCTTTTTATAATGAATATAATTAAAAATAAATATATAATTAATAAAAATAATTAATATAATCTTGAATTTTAAAATTTATATATCTTTGAAAAATATTTGACAAAATATCATATATTTTGACGTATAAATGATGGCCCACGCAATTCTCATTTCTTCTGATCCATGGCCCATTCCGAGCCTTCCATGTAAAACCTCCCTTCAATCCTTATTCACGCATTTGCGATGCCCGTTGATATCTACTGCACATGCACATGCTTCACGCACCTCCTCACGCTCCCTTTTTATTAGGATTGTTCCAAATACAACCGAACCACATAATATCTAAAATAATTTAAAAATAAGAATTCATTAATTCAAATTTTATCTTTAATTAAGTGATTTGATTAGATTTTTATTTAAAAGTTAAGAATTTACCCAAATAAAATTATTATTATATACTTTGTTTTTGTTTTTTTTTTTACTTTTTCCTCGTTCAAAGTTCATTAATTTCCTATGCGGTTTTATAAATTTATTTTTTCCAGTATAATACAATAGTATCTTAAAGAAATGGAAAGCATAAAGTTGAAATCTTTTCTAGTGTCAAAAGCCTGTTTATTTAGCAACGTCCTACGATAAGCAGGGACAGCAAAAGGCATTAGGCATAATGGGTTCCGTCAATTTGCTTACTCAGGGATGAGGTGGACGGTTTGATGCTTAACAAAATTTTTATATATTAAAATTAAAATAAAAAAAATTATAATTAAAATATTATATTTTTTTATTATGTTATTAAAATATGTAAATATATTATAATTTTATAATTTAAATTATAAAATTAGTCAATTAAATTTAAATTATTAATTATAATTAGTTATTTTAACATAATATAACAATATTTTTAATTTATTTAATAAAGATACTAATTAATAAATAAAAACTTAAAAATTATTTATATAATTAAAAATATTATATATATATATATAATTTAATATATAAAAATTATTGACAAGTTGACCCATTGACTCATTAATTCATTTTTTATGAGATGAATTGATGTCTCATGACTAATGACAAATCTTGATATTGATATGGGGTCAAATAATATATTATTAATAAATAATACATAAATATAAAAGGAAGAAAGAAGATGAAAAAGTGAAGGATAAAATTGTAGATATATACTTAAATATATTAAATAATCATTAAGTTTGATAAGGACAAAATCATAAATTATATAAGAGTTCCAAAACCGAGGAGGGACTGAGAGGATAAAATTGTAAATATACAAGTAAATATATTAAATGTTCATTAAGTTTGGAGGAGACCAAAATCATAAATTACATGAGAGTTACAAAACTTTGGAGGAGCTACGACCCTCCTCTGCTCCCAAGAAGATCTACCACTGTCTGCAGCTTGTGTTGATTATGACAGATCATTCGTCCCACCCGCTTTTTAGGTTACAAGTAGGACAAGTTGACCTATGTGTCATTCCTAGCAATCGAGGTTGCGTATTAAGAAAATGGAATAAATTTTAAAAATTGTATATCTTGTAGCGAAGTATAATTATGTAATAATAAATTTAAGTATTTAACACCTTTTTTATTTTCATAAGTTGTGACATGGGACACAATTATGAATATTTTTATTATTTTTAATATCATGTTATGTGATAATTTTTTTAATTTTTTATATTATGTTAGATAATACAAAGTTTTTTGTAGTTTATTTTTTAAAAATTTACACTTTATTTTTTTTATTATTAATACTAAAATAATGTTATATAACATTATTTTATTTTATTTTTTATGTTTTAATTTAATTATAAAATAATATTATATATAATTTTTTATTTACCATATTTTAAAATTATAAATTTATAAATACAAAAATAAAATTATAACAATAGTTAAAACAATGAAATACATTGTATTAATAAGAATGAATTATGTGTTGTAAAATAATGTAATACAAAGTTAAATTAGAAATAATTTAGTATCAAGAGTATGCTCCACGAGGTAGTTTTCTTCTGTTTTATCTAGGTCTTTCATTTTATTGGGAAACATGTTTCTGTTGTTACCAATATCATCATGTTCTTCTTGTTAGTTAATAATAACCATAGAACTAATTTAATGATATACTAATGATGATATAAAAAATGTGGCAAAAATATGTGAAGCAGAAGACATCATATTAAATGTGTAAAAGACATGTCCTCTGAAATGACATCCTTCAAATAAATTTTGAAGATTGTTCACATAATTATAAAATAGAACATACTAACAACTTGTCGATAACTTGACAGACGAACTTATTGGTAACTAATGAACCAACTTATTAATAACTTGACTACGTAGCTTGTTGATAACTAGATGAACCAACATGTGGATAGTTGGTTGAAGTATTTAGTGTCGTTGTCCTCCTCTGGTGCATCATACTAATGAAAAAATGCATAAAATTAATATTTGTGAGAAATATAATCAATTGAAAAATGTATACAAAAGCTAATATGTGTCATATCCAAAAATATAGTAGGGGAAATTGTGAGTTTGAAATCATCAAACCCAAAATCTAGTGGAAGAACACAAAGGTATAAAGTCAAATTGCATACCTAGAGGTGTGATTATGGAGAGTTTGAAACTCTCAAACTACCTTGCTCATATGTTCTTGTTATGTGTTCCTCATGCATTTGCATATTGGTACATATGTTGATTTAGAGCATCAATTGTATCTAGTACAAAATGAAGATTATTAGTTTCCTTATACTAATCCAAATTCCATTTCGGACTTAGTTATGTGATGTGAACAATCAAGAAGACTTACCATGACATACATCCTTAATGAAATGGATCGATCAAATCTAAATAAGCAAAAAAAGAATACCTATTTTGTCCTACTGGAAGACATAATCGTAATAATTGTCCATACAAATAATGATATAATAATATTTCACTTTTAAAATGAATGTATTTCGCTTTTTTAACTCGTTTATAATTTTAATTTTTTTTACTTATAAATTTATAATCTTAATATATAGTAAGTAAATAAAAAATATTACATATAATATTATTTTTTGATTAAGTTAAAACATAATGCAACAAGAATAACACACTCATTGAGAGCCCCAAGGCCCACATGGTCGAATTGCAACAACAAACTAATGCAGAAATACTAGTCCTACAAGAAAAAACCCAATAAAGATCAGAAGCAACAACAAGAATAACTAAAGGATCTCTACGCGATCAGATCAACGAGATTGCCAAGAAATTAGTGGAGCAAAAAAAAACGATACCAAATGAAAGTTAAATGGTGGTGGCTACTATGAAATCTTACTCTCATTCTAAGCACTCCGAGCCACAAAAAACCAATTTCGAACCATAAAAGGTCCATGTCGAGCAAAAAAAAAATCAATGCCAAACCACTAAAGGACAATGCTAAACAACAAAATACAAATGTCGAGTCACAAAAAAATAGTGTTGAGAAGGAAGTTGAGTTAAAGAAAACTAAAAAAGAGTACGAATCCGCTGTGTCAACTCGAGTTTTGGTACAAACATGTGCAAAATATGAGCACCCATTTGTGCGGGGTATACTTGATAAACCTTCCCCCAAAATTGGTGTGCACCTCTGGTTGACTCCCAAACAAGTACCTCGGACCCAGAGGAGCACATCTAACCTTCTTCACATGTCGAATTTTTCCGACCACACTCAAGGGCATCGCGTTCCAATGGTATTACGAACCGCCAAAGGGATCCATTGCCAGCTTTGATGACTTAGCGAGCAAGCTAAGAGCTCAGTTTGTCATAAGCTGACCTCATATAGTTGACTCAATGACCATCAAAAGCATTAGATAAGGGAAAAAGAAGTCATTGCAGAAGTTCCTAGAGAGATTCACAGCCATCAACGTCACCATATTAGACTTAGAACCTACCGTTAAAATGCATACTATGCTGACCGACCTTCGAACTAGACCATTCCTGAAAGCTTATACCTTAATAGGATAAAAGACATGGACGAGTTGAGAATGCAGGCCTCAAATTACATCCAGTTGGAAGAAAACATCGAGCTCCATAGACAAAGAGAAGAACTCGACCAAGTGGTGGAGAAAAATCATTCCAAACATGTAAGAATGGTTTGCTATGATAATTGCACACCACTGAACGCCTCTCGTGAAACCATCTTGCGAAAGGCGTGCAATCTGGAGCTAATGATCCTACCTCAGTAAACCTTCACGACACCGAATGTAGACTGAACGAAGAGATGTGCTTACCATAAGAACTATGACCACAACACAAAAGATTTCTCAAACCTAAGAAATATCATTGAAGACCTAATACAATTGGAGAAATTAACCCATTATATTTGGACACATAACACAAGAGGTCATGGAGGTTATCGAGGTCGAGAATGTGGATATCATGATCGTGTGCAAGGATACTACCAATAAGATGACAACCACAACCAACCCATAACCCAACTTCCTCTTCCAAAAACCACCCTGGAAACACGAAGAGTAATCAACATCATTGCAGGAGCCTTTGCTAGTGGAGAACCAACTAGCTCGACACCTAAGAGACACCTAGGTGTCGTATGCCATGTCCAAATTGGTCCTCCAGTACCAAATTTCCCCAACATCACCTATTCCAATGTGGATTATGAAAAGTATGATCCAGCCTAAGACGACCCCATAGTCCTTACAACCACAATAGCTAATTGTGAAGTCAGAAAGATGTTAATTGATCAAGGGAGTTTCATCTGACATGTTGTATTGGTCGACATTCCTTAAATTATGAATATCACATGACCTGATACGTCCATATCCAGACCCTTTGCTTGGTATCTCAAGGGGATGGGTTCACACCTGAGGATACATAGACCTGCTAACTACCTTCAGAACCATGACCCAACGCATTATCTCGATGCAATTCATATTAGTGGAGGAAGGCACCTCATACAATTTGATAATCAAAAGATGAACATTGAATCTGTTAGAAGTTGTGGTATCAACCCCTCACATGATGATGAAGTTCCCATCAATAGATAATAGTTTCAAGATAACAATAAAGTCAGACCCAAAGGAATCCCGAGAGTGTTACACCAAAAGTCTCAAGGTCAAACCATACTCAGTATTCAAGAGTTTAGGGGCAACGCACAAGTGCACAACATAGAATGAGTCAATCTCGACCCTCGAATAGAAG